TTCCTACTGAAGTGGGCTGGGAAGGGAGGGTCTATTCCTTCAGATAAAAATATATGATACCATCAACAGTAATATATCATTTCACTGAGTGCTCTCTACGAGTCACAGGTCAAGATCACAGATGGTATATAAAGACAAGACTGCTCCTCAAGAGTGAGACCAAAACATCTCAATCACTTCCTGGTGGCTGGTTGCAATGTTAGTTGATAGGACACTTGCATGGGTCAATGGATGGGAGAGTCAAATACATTTTTTCAAAAATTGTTTCTGTAACTTTTGGTAGTTTTCATCACACATGTTTTTTTCAAGTGAAGGAAGATAATTAACCATATTAAGGGAATAAGGAAGAAAAAACTCTTAGTTTGAAGAGGTCACAACCATTAGAAATATGCAACTGGTGATGGGGGCCTCAAGTGGACTTTGCTTTAATTTGAAGGGTCACTAACCCGAGAGTTTTAGAACCACCGTTACAAACTTTTGTTAAGTTCAGACCCTGAACAAAGATTCAAAACAAAGTTGTACATAACTGTGCACACTGTATATAAGTATCCATATGGGATCTTAGAAATCACCATGATAGAATCTTAGAGCGGGACAGACATGTCTGAGACCTGGCAGAATAATTTACTTTCAGAATTTCATCTCAGTTATCTACAGTATAGACAGACTATATTGATCAGCCTCAACTCGATGAAAAATCAAAATGGACTAATAAATAATGGAGACACAGACACTAGAATTCAGCGAGAAACTTCAGGGCTGACAATAAACCATTGTGACGCCAAACGATGAAGTTGTAAGACGGTCCAGTCTAAGCTTTAGCTGGTACTAGTAAAGCAAAGTTCAAACCAACTAATTATAAGCGGTTCTGGTCAGTCTTCCATCCATTTCTCCACCAGTGCAGCCTCCAACTGGGGTCGAAGTGAGGCACCTTTTAATAAGATTAATTTGGGTCACACAGGGTTACTGTATCTTGTGTTGTCTGTCAGAGCAAGGCTGAGAGCTATCATATCTATTCCTGGTAAGCTACTTATAGGGGTGGGCTGAAAAATATACTGTATATTGGAAATAAAGCAAATATTATTCATGTGAGTAATGCAGTAAATTACAGAAATAACTAAATAGAAGTTTCCGGAGAATTGGGTCACAAATTATTTCCACTACGGAGATCACATGTTTTTGTTGACAGAACACCGTCTGCTCTTATCACCATAAACTCTATTGGCGTCTCTGACTTTCCGTTGACATCTGGCCACAGAAAGTCTGCAGAAACTCAAAGGCTCTCACTCAAACATTTGCGTTTACACAAACACAAATACACATCTCTGCAGTTCAGAGCATGTCTTACAGCAGCTTATAACCACCTATTTTTTAAATGTGAACAGTAGGTTTAGTAGGTTAATCTAGGGCCAGGTCACTACACTGACCTTCTGGCAGATCATTTTGCCTTTGGGCAGCTCCACGGCCAATCCGAGGTCTGACAGTCGACACTGTCCTTTACCATCCAGCAGCACATTCTCAGGCTTCATATCCCTGTACACGATGTCCATGGAGTGCAGGTGGAGGATCCCTATGGTTATCTGGGCCACGTAGTAAACAACACGCTCCATGCGGATGCCCCGCTCCCCGAGCTCATAGATGTGAAACCTGAGGTCCCCTCCGTTCATGAGGTCCATGACCAGGCACAGGTGGGTCCTGTTGGCATAAGCGTAAGCCAGGTTGACGATGAAGAGGCTGTTGACCTTCTCCAGGATCTGCTTCTCCACAAGGGCAAGTCCATTGCCGCCTTTCTTCTTCAGATGCCTCTTGTCCAGCTTCTTGCAGGCGTACATTTGTCCTGTGAGCTTCACCTGCACCGCACACACCTGTCACACAGACACAGCAAAGGGACTTTAAATGTTATGACAGTGATCCTTTTTAAGTGACTTTAAAAGGGAGACTATGAAGTGAAACCATAGCCACAGTAGCCGCATGACATTCACTAAAACTTAATATAGAAGTGGTACAGGTCAATGTAGTGATGTCAATGTCTATATAGAAATATAAAGCTGTGGTTTGCTAATATGAGCCTTCATAAGCTACTGCTTCAAATAAGGCTGTAGCAGCAAAACTCAGAATGTATTTAATTGATTGAATTAAATTGATCACAGTTGCCTTTAATTGCTCAGGGATGCAATGAATCAAGTTTGCCTTTTCTTGTTATCCCTTGCACCCTATGAATGAAGATACTGGGATCCAAATTTTACCTTTAATATGTCACCTTGTCTGCAGATTTACATTTTTTTCAAGATGCCCAAACACCTACTACCTACCTCACCAAAGCCACCTTTCCCCAAAATCCTGAATTCATAAAAGTTTTTGTCACTGATCCTCTGCTTTTCATACTCCTTCCACTGCAAGAACTTATAAAAGAAGGGGCTGTTCAGGTACTCGCAGAAAGGTTGTCCCTTCAGGAAGTCCCTTGTGGCTTCTTTGAACTGGTCCATCATCGTCTCGTCAAAGTACTTGCATGATAAATCTTTGCATCTCTTTGCATTCTCTCCTGTGAGATAGGAGAGAAAATGCTTGGAATCAGGTTGACAGAACTTGGCGAGGATGCTCGGTTTGACCTTTTCTTTGGTTTCATCTTCCGCAACGCTCCAGATGCTCAGCTCCTCAAGGAATTTAGCGGCGGCCTCGTACTGTGGGTTGGAGGTCTGGAGAAACTGCTGGAACAGCTTCCTCCCAATAGGCTGCTGCTCACACAGGGACTCGTACCTACTATCTGCAGCCGCACGGAGAGCAATGGACTTTGGTCTTGGCAGTGTGAGGCTGAGCCTGTGCTTCCTCAGCTCACTGCGGTCAATGTGCTGAGCCTTCAGGTAGGCTGTGTTGGCCACCAGGTTGTTAAGGCCCACCAGGTCATCCATGCTGGACGCATCGCGAAGCATATTTGCAGAGGCAGCTGGTAACTACAAAACGATGGTATCCGCAGGGTCCATACTCATCTGAGAGCTTCGAGCACCTGCATTCTGATCATCCTCTACCTCTTGAACCACGCCTCCCAGGGCATTAAAAGTCCCAATGTTCTCAGGGATTTGTTGGTAGCTTAGTGTCTTCGTGTGCTCATTTGTAGACGGCACTTAGAGAAAGCGACTTGTGCCGTTTGAACTTAAGAGGCTTTGGGCTGGTCTATTTTTAGGTGATGCAAATTGCCTGAGTGCATCAACTGTGGTGGTAAACATGACATGATGAGGTGGCACATCCTGACCTTAACTTAAAATTGATCATAAATTGTTCTGAATATAAAAAAGATAGCATGTAAAGTATACAACGTACACAGTCTGCACACCTCATGACTTATTGCAGGACAAGGAATTCAAACTTAACCTGTTAAGCCCTAATTGGTTTAAGGAGCCTTAAAATTAGTTTCATGAGCGATAACTGACCAAGCAGCCAGAAGAGAGAGGCCAGTGCACTAACACTCTCGTCTGTTAGCTGCTCAGAGCTTGTCTTGAAGTTCATTCTTGTCCTATAAAAAAGCAGGTGACAAAGTAGTTCACTCAGAGGTCCATTTAGATGCTGTTCTGGAGCTTTCATCTGCAGATTAAAATCAGGGTGTGTGGACTTTACCCAGGTGTCAGGGCACAGAAATGTTTAAATCATGAAGATCATATGGTATAACCTGACAGCTCCAGACCAGCTACTAGGTGGAGCTCAAGGTGAGATTGTTACCTTATTGTTATCCACTTAGAAACACTTAAACATGTTGCAAGCTTCAACTTTGATTCTGGCCTTATGAAGATGAATCTAGATGACATTGTAGTATCTATTGCTTTACAAGCAAATTAACTCTATAACTATTGTCAGAAGAAGGTTGTATCAATTCTGCAGTTCTTTTCAGACCACTGCTCAATGGTGATTCAAAGATTTGTCAAATAATGTTGCTTATATTGTTCTTAAGACTAACGCAAAAGCTATGCCCTAGGGGAAAAAGAAAAGTAAAATACACATGCTACAAGTGTAAAGGAAACACACAGATCTACAAGAGTCAGGGAACAGAGTTCACTGATTTGACAGACTCAATTCCTCTGCAGTCTCTGCAGACTATGAGACAAGTGCTGTCTCATAGTGGTTTGCATGGCTACAGTCCACGTAGTGCACGTCAGCTGCCAAAGTAGCCCAGTCAGGGCAGAATGGAGTCCACACTTCAACTGTTCATTCGGTTTTCTTTGGTGATTGTTACATATTAGCAGATGATGTCACTGAGATGACTCTATGCTCTGACCAGCCCTGCAATGCTGCAAGCTAAAACCTTTCTGAATGAACAGATGACCAATGATCTGATCTGGGTTGATTTAGATGCTTCCTGTCCACTGTAAGTTACACATCTGATTGGAAGCAACCGTGTGTATTAGTGACAGAGATGAAGATGTAACTGTTTCTGGGGTAAAACTGGCCAAGTAGCAGATAACCCCCTTTCTTGATGACAATTTAATACTGGTGAACTGATAACAAATTCATATGTTAAATACATTAAAGAGTATTCAAGATATGGCATCAGTCATCAGTTTTGATATCGTGGTTGGTAGGTTTGTAAAATGTTTTTTTCCATAAAACCTGCTCTTCATTGCACAAAAGAATCCAACATTTGTAGTTTCAATCAATCATAGTATAGTATACGATTAAAGTAAAGTACATGTAAGTACACAAAAAAGTCAACAAAAGCAGGTGTACAAGAAAGGCATTGTGGGACAGTTAAAATCTGAAATGAATCAGTTGAAATGATTCTTGGTGAGAATTTAACGTCAGATTTATGTATCTTCATTGTTATTGACTTTTGGGGATGCAGACAAATTTCTGTCTGAAGAATGAAAAAAATATTTCCATTCCTTAACCAGCCAAATCTTGGCAGGTCAATGTGCTGCACTTTCCTGAATATAATCTAAAACATGTGTTGTAGAATAGTACCTACTTCCATGATATCACCGTAGGAAAATACTAAATGACAACTACATATATTTACAGCTATTCACAATTCTTTATTTCTGAAAGGATAGTCACATAAGATGTGCCGATCATCATCACAGACAATAATATAACCTGATCAAACACTGCAGCACGTTTCATCCATCTCTTCATGACTCCTGATCCCTCCAGCCACATTAAATAACGAGTCTGTGCTGCTTTATCCACCGCCCTCCTTCAATACCAGGACGACAGGAACATGCAAGTAGGAGGGACAGATGATGATGTCTGTGGCTCTACACAGGACGCTGCAGTGATCCATGTCAAGTCTGTCACCACGTTCGGGTGCGTGCAGGCGAGAGTCAGAGCGCCTGGACATGGAGCTTATTTGCCGATTCTCTGAACCACCCAGTCCTGCTGGCAGAGGGGACAGCGATTGTTCTGCTTCACCCACAGGGACATGCAGCAGTTATGGAAGGAGTGGTTGCACTCTCCCCACACAACTGAAAGACAGAGGAGTGGAAACATAGGGGGTGAGGCAATTAACGAGTACAAGGGTTACAAAGACCATAGTAGTATAACTGTATTTAATGGAACAGTAAATAAACTGATTCACTTTTGTTTTGACCTTTTACAAAAAGCACATCACTTGGCATTAATGTGTTTCAGTCCAGTCAAACAGGACAATAGGTGATTTTTTTATTTATTAAACTACTTCTAACCCGTACTCAGTTAAGTCCTTGGTAATAAGTGTGCTGACTCAATTTACTAAATATTTTACTAGTCATTGAACAGTTAAGAGTGTGAAAAGTACAATATGAACAAGTATAAAAGTGTGTATTGAAACTTAACTTCTGAAAATATTTTAGGTCATTTGTAAGAAGGTTATTTTCCCACCCCTGTCTGTTGGTTGGTTTACTTGTTGGTTTGTGTGTTTGTCATCAGGATTACACAAAAACTACTGAACAAGAATTATTTGACCTCTTTCTTCGACATTGACATTTTCACCAGGAATAATTCCTGGATTTTGATTAAACAAAAGGCAGCTTAATTGAATCAAATATTAGTATGTTCTGGAAAGTTTACAAGCAATATTATTTGAAGTTGCCATATTGGAGAAAAGAGACATGCATTGGAGGTTAAATGTGTTGTTAGTTATCTTTTCTAGATATGCTTTCATCAAATGTCATGTTGATCATAACCTACAAGTTCTAATACATTATGAATATATGAACAGGCTATTTCTATTTTTCCTTTAAAAGATGTTTCTGACAGTGGAGAAAGAAGTATTAGATCACAGTGAAAGTAGAAATACCACTGTGTACTCAGTCACAAGTAAAAGTCCTGCACCCCAAAAATGATTCTCAAGTTGAAGTAGAAGTATCAGCATCACAACATACTTTCAGGTGGAATTACAGGGTATCATTTATTATATTAAAGTCCTCTGTTAACATATAAAACACCATGACTTATTTGTTAACTTCTATCAATCTAACGCTGCAAAGATTCTAGTAACAAGATCCATGTGGAGTCAATTGCACGATATTTCCACCTGAACTGTTGTGGAACTTAAGTATGAGGAAGCTGATGCTCAAAGTACTCAACTACAAGTACAACTACAAGTACCTAATGTTTCGTCAATTGCAGTATTTGAGTAAATCTACTTACTCTCACACCTGCTGGTGTTAGATATATAAAACATAGTGACAGTTGAAATCAAAGCATCTGGATTTGCAGCCATTAGCTTGGTGACTCACTGACAGCTCCGTCAGAGCAGCTAATTTTAGCCGGGCGATGCTACAGTGCTAACACGGTCTTACCGACACAGTCCTCCTGTTTGTTTTCCGCCTGACACCGAAGACAAGCGTCTGCAAATGAGATTCAAACAAAACAGAAACACGCACGTCAGCGAGCTGCAGTTTCACTCATTCGTATGTTTGCGCTAGCTTAGCATTAGCGTGTGTCCGAGCCAAGCTAGCCGCGGACCCGCTGACACTCACCCATCACCTGGACCCGACAGATGGCACATGTGTCGCATTCCACATCCCAGCTCCACATGGCCACCGCGTTCCACTTCTTCAGGGAGAACATCTTGTCCCCGCCCGACTTGGAGCCTGAGGAGGTGTTGCTGATGTTGTGTGAGAGGACCAGACTCGGCTCCTCACCGTCATCCATCGCTGCTGCTGCTCACTTCAGTACGCACGGTGACGTTAGCCCGCTAAGCTAAGCTACACAAGATGGACGCAGCGGCTCGGTTATGCTAGCGCTAATCGTGTCGCGCTAATGTTAGCTTGTCTTGTCTCCATAGCAACAGGAGAGGGCGCTGTTTGATTGGTTCATACAAAATAAACCACTGAGCACTTTATTAGGAACACCACACGAGCTTCCTTTAACTCTCTGCTCCATGTTGACATATTGACGTCTACGTCACATGATTTCTGCAGATCTATAGATCCCTGGGGAGAAACTGGGTTGTTCTTATGGTTCAGCCTAGGGTGAACATATATACACACCAAGACAATTACAATGAAATACAAAACACATTCAAGTGTATTGTAAACATATTTGCATAATGATACAATATATATAAGAAGCAGCACAAGATGTGTAATAATATAGTCATTCTGATCATACAGTATATCAGAATCAGAATCAGAAGTACTTTATTAATCCTTGTAGGGAAATTCAAATGTCACAGAGCTCCTGATAAAGAGGTGAAAGAGCAAAAGCAGGTATAAACATAGTAATATAAAAGCCAGGTAAGACTAAAATGAAATAAAAGATATACATATGTAGAAATAAAAACCGGGTGTGTATAGATTTACATTTGTACATGAATGTAAGTTAAAATATACACAGTATACATGTTCAAGCTTATTTACAGGTTATCATTATACAATCTGACAGCCACAGGCAGGAATGATTTCCTGTGGCGTTCTGTCGAGCAGCGTGGGTGAATGAGTCTGCCACTGAACGAGCTGCAGAGGCTAATCAAGACATATACAACAGAATCATGTCAAGATCCCTGTTCTGTTGATTCCCACATGGGTTTTATTGGATTCAGATCTGGTGACTGAGGAGGTCACTACACACTGAAGATTTTTTGGTGTGAGACAACCTTTGATTTGTGACAGGATGCATTATGACAGGATGCATTATTTTGCTCTATGTTTCCATTAGAAGATGGTGACTGTCCGTAAACATGTTCAGTAACAACCACAATTGATTGGGTTAAAAAATAACAGTTGATATCAGTGTCCTTTTAGTATCATTATCACTCTCAAGCAGCCATTGTAGAATCGTTATGTATCATAATGTTATTGTTGTTATAAGATGAGACACCTCTTTTTGTCTTTCTATCCCCCCTCCTCTTTTCTGTTTTGGTTGTGCATCATAATCCCTCGCACAACCAACCAAGTTCAGGGGGTGCAGTGTATTTATTTTTCTAAAGGGCAGTTTTTTTTGTTAATGTTGTTACTGTAACTATGCTTAATTAAATTACGTTTCTTGTGATGCCCTCCCTGACATTCTGCACCAGAGGCAACCATCTATGTCTCCAAACCGGCCCCTTAGTGTGCCAAGAAAACATTCCCCACTTCATAACACCCCCTCCACCAACATGGACTGTTTATACAAGGGTGCACACCAAATTCGGACCCTATGAGTGTGTGTCCACTGCAGCCTCAGATTTCTGTTGACAGGAGTGGAACCCGACATGGTGTCTGCTGTTGTAGACCAAACATGTTCTCGGATGCTTCTCAGCTCACAGTTGTTGGAGAGGTTATCTGAGTTACTGTACTATACTGTTATTCTCCCTGGACCTCTTAGCAACAAGGTTGTAAGTTTCCATCCACAGAGTCACTGCCCACTGGATGCTTTTCTTGTTTTTCAGAGAGTTAGAGTCTAGCAGTTTCAGAAATACTTGAACCAACAATCATGACCCATAAAGACACTGATGTAATTATTTTCCATTTATGATGTTTGATCTAAACATCAACTTCAGTCCCTGGCCTCGATCTGGGCATGGTTTTATACATTGACCTGCTGCCAAGTGATTGGCTGATTTGATAATAGCACGCAGAAGCAGGTGCTCGTGCACATAACACACATAAAACACCCATAAAAAACTTTAATAGAGGTCATATTGACCTCCATGTTAATTATGGTTACATCAAACTTTTAATAACATCTTTCTTTTCTCGTTCACTTCCTCGTTTCTTTCTATCTTTATCTTCTCTCCCTTATTTCTCTTCTTTTAAAACCAACTGGTTGGCTGCTCACCAAGCGCTTACTAATGGTGGGAACAATATTATAATGTGTCGACCTTGCTCTATATAGCGCCTTGAGATAATGTATTCATGTCGTGATTTGGTACAATACAAGAAAAAAAAAAGAATTGAATTGAAGTCAAGGGGATGCCCCAAATGGAGTCTGATTAAAAGCTTTACTTCATGTTTTTGAAATGATTTAATTATTGAAGTATGCATGTTTTTGAATTGGCACAACTGTCCAGCATCTTCCTCCCTACAGGTGTTCACAGTAAATGTATTGAATACTCACTAGTACATTTTAGTAAGTTGTCAGTGACATTATTGCACAACCGCTGATTAGTGTAAATCAAAAACTGTGTAAGCTTTAGCAAGTATCATACAACGGTCAACAGAAATACTACGTTTTCAGTCACAGGACGTGTATCTCTTTTCTTGTTTTTCTAATTGTGCGTTTGTGTGTGCGTGTGCGTGTGCGTGTGTGTGTGTGTGTGTGTGTGTGTCTTCCTTCATTCCTTACCATCAGTGATGCACAGAGAATGAATTACCTTTTTTAATAAGATCATATGTGTTCTCCACCTCACGTTACATAACATGCACATTTAATTTAATATGAGAATACACAGATAAGATAAATCCTCTGTGTGTAATTATGAATTAATAGCTAGTCTGGAGAGTCATTTCTGTTATAGCTATCACATAAATCTTCAAATGATATAAAACAACTGCTCATCAACCTGAAGTCCAACAAATGATATATAGATTTTTAATTAATCAGTGTGCGTCCCACCTAAAGTGTCTGCAGGCTATTATGAAGGTTGGAGATTGCAAAAAAACAGTTTGAGGTTTTTTAAGTACTGTTCCTTCAGGACGATTTGCGTTTGTGTTCTGCACAATTAATTGTATAAAAATTGTGATCTCAATTCACACCTATTCTATTTAATTTCAAAGTCAGAAAAATTGTGCTGCAACAAGCGCTCCTACTTTTTCCCACCACCGATGACAAAGGGATGCAGAGTAACAGAACACCGGCAGTGCAACAAAATGAGTGGGAGGAAAGTGGAGAAAATCTTGTGTAAAGGAGCCTCCGTTGATCCAATGATCCCATAGTGTACTGCTATAGTGTATAGTATGAGTGCTTTCAAAACCAGCTCAAAAAGCACTTAACAAAGAACCACAGCGCTGCCAGGGAATTTTTGACCAACTGCTTCAGCACTGCATCTACAGTCCTAGGCAGAATTGTAAATTCCATCTGATTCATGACGAAAATGTCTGGATCTCTGAAAGCAAAGGTTTTTAGAAAACTAGACATGTGGCAATCCGACATGACGTAGCTCAGTTAAGAAGAAACAAGCAAATGAGATCTACTGTATCTGTCTATCTGAAGATTTGACAGCTCAGTGAAAATACGTTTCACAGACATTAAAAGGGAAAATGTAAATCATCACGATTGTACCTTTTGTTGGGATGAATCATAAACAACATTTAAAAAAACATTAAGAATTACTTCTTACATTTACACAATGCCTCTTATACCCACTGCGTATACTGAGGCAAAATATATGTATTTGTTTATTTATATGTAAAGCTTGCAACTCATTGCACCATACACCAACTATCTGGAGATCGGAATTTTTAACATTTTAATGCTACTATTACTCTTAACAATGCTGCTTAACTGTATTTTTCAGAAAAAGCAGACAAAAGATGTATATACTGTATATTACACTACATGTGTGTGTGTGTTTGTGTGTTACATGAGCTTGGCATGTGATCAGTGCTGTGAGCTGGGAGTATGGCCAGCTCAGCAGAAACAGATTTCACACAAAATGTGAGCTCGAACACACATATACAGGCAAAAGAGTTACCATCTATGCCCAGATGTGGCGATGTAGTGTGCTTGTTTGTGTCATGGTGACTCAAGAATGACCTGGTTACATTTTTGTGGTCAAAAGACAAGAACACCGTGGCCTCATGTTTTCCTTGTTGTGAATGTGATGGAATACATCAAGGGATAGAAAATCTCACAATGGATTACCTTCCCTGGCCGATGAAGCAGATTAGTCAGTTACTGGGGTTGTAACTACGTCCAGCTGGCTGCTGTGGTTTGATGAATCCTTGGGATGGTTGGGTGGTCTCAGACAGAATGATAAACTTTTAAATAAATTCTCACTAATATGTATGAAATGTATTTCTTTCATTCTGCCATGTAATCACTAATGTTCAGTGAAATATATTTGGAAATAAAACACGAGCTAGAAAAAACAGCAATTTCCTCTCGTTATTGATTTAGATATTAAAGTTATTTAACTTTATATTTTTATAATTCAAGGTGTGTTTCTTCTTCTGTTTGAGTTTTAAAAAAATTAAAAAAGCGGAAAAAAGATCCCAAGTGCCGGACAGTGAGGCAGCAAGATACTGCTATAAACATTGAAAAGTATGGCGTGCATGATCTGGAAGTACATTTACAAAATTAAAAGAAAATATTAGTTATAATAAATTGTACATTGTGTGTATGAGGATATAATGGTTGGATGGATGAATAGAAAAACGTAAAGAAATGCTGCATGAGAAAACCTTATTTTAATAATGTGAATTTTCTTCCTCTTCCAGGCTTTCGGATTGCCACATGGAAATTGTGCAAGAATATTTCTTTTCATGATCCTGCCCAGGTCTTTAAGACTTTTGATTTGTATTTGGATACTTTGAGGAGAATTTTAGGACTTCTGATGTGGAACTTTTATGGACTGGTTGTGTTTATGGTTTCAAACCTTCTTGACGTCTTTTACTGTGGTTTTTGGAGTTATATCACCGTGGTTTGCACTTTGAGTTCATTACTTCCTTCCTGCTGTATTTTATACTATCTTATACTATCAAATACCTAATGAAAACCAAACTTACTGGGACACTTGAAGGTGCAAGAACTACCTAAAATGACAGAAAGTATCTTTGAGAAAAATGTTTTCAACATCCATTAACATGGAGGATGGATTTATGACCTATACTGCAACCAGTCACCAGGGAGCGATTGAGACGCTTTAGCTCCACTTTTGGAGAGCAGTCTATGGCAATCATATATCGTGGGAGAGAAGAAAGTTCTACACAGAATGGGTGGATCTTGTGTTTCAGAGGGGCCTTACAAGTGAGCAGCCTGTCCCTCAGAGCAGGTTAATCTGACCATCTCTACAGGTTGACTCCCAGTGAATATCTCCTTTACACAAGTTCAATCATATCCTCCTCCTCCCCACTGCGCTGCAGCAGCACATCAAGCGCCTGACTAATGTATGTGCTTCAGATTTACTGCAGCCACAGGATCGAGCTTTTATTTCTGGAAAAGAATGCTATACATTCTATATCAGGGGTGGGGAATCTCCATCCTCCAGGCTGTATATGTTCCACAAGACAATTCATTAATACAAAAAAAGCGACTTGGATCTCGTTACAGCAATATGTTTTCTGTAACATGTCCTTCAGGGTGGTGTCTTCAATGTCTTTAAGTTACAATGCATGATGAAAAAGGTCAACCTCAGCATCAGTACAGCTGAAAACAAGCAAATAAACTGAAGCTTCAAACCTTTGTCATCTCTGTCTCTGTATTGACCCCTTTACAAAGTCTCTCTCTCTCTGTTGGATGTTTTTTATGCTCATGTTATCTAGTGGGAAGAAGATGAAAACCAGATGTCCTAAGCACTGATAAGGTCTGACTTTCTTTCACTTACAAGGTGTTAATCAACTTAGTGGCAGCACCCTGCAGTCACTTACTCTTAAGTAAGCAGAAAGAGAACCAGACACCATAAATTCTATTCCAGCAGAAATGGTTCAATGGATTTCTGTGTAGCTGACCACTGATAGCATAGTTAACCTGTTGCCCTACAGTGGAACCACCTATCACAGCTGTGTAGACTTTTGTAAACTAAGTTGTTTATTCTGAAATATTGTTTTTTGAGAAATACTTAGATTCATAAAATATTGCTGCGTTTTTTTACCTTCCGGGCCACCATAACAAGTTTGTCTGTTTCAACAGTAGCAGACTTGCATGTGTCCCACTGTCCTTGAACGCAGCAGAGGCTGGAGGCTGCACACAGACATACATCCTCTCAGTTGATGCCTGAGCTGCTCAGGACTTCACACAGCTGTGAGAGAACATCTGAAACTTAACTTCAGAGAAGTGGATCTATCATGACTGCCAGGATCCAGGGAACATTGAGCCGGGACAAACCTGTGCCACAGAGCCGAGCTACAGGTACAGATCATTTATTTCCTGAGCTGAGAGGCTGATGTGTGCACTGATGTATCAGGTGCATGAGACCGTGACAGAGGCAGCTGCTGTAAATACATGTTTGTGATAACCTCAATTATTTTATCATTACTCAGGATGGAGTGAGACTTTGTCCATGGCCTGCATTGTGTTTGAGTGTGCTTTTAATTAACTGATAACCAGAGACAGAGCTACAGCTGTATATCACAATGAAACAGATTCATATAAAGGTTGATCTCGTCATTTCACCATTGATGGTGATCAACTCAGGAACAAAAGCATCAGTGATGTCTTTATTATTAAAAACAGATATACTTTGAAGTCATTTTAAAATTGTAAACTTAAAGAAAATATGTTAATGAGATGGATGATTTCACCTTTGTTTCCCTGCAAATGGACATATTTGATAATATGAGGGACGCACTGTTAGAAGAAAGTTCAGTGATGCTGTCCACAGTTTAGAGTCTGACTCTTGCACGCATCAGAGTGCAGAATAATTACTCAATAAAAAAACATTTCTATGAGGGGATCATGTCTGACCTGTTATAAGGAGATACAGACTCGCTGAAGGTCGTTTTGTTTTTTATAATGGATTTGAAATTTTTGCAATAGGAAGAGAAGAATCAGACATGTTTGTCTTCTAATACGACTAATGCACTAATCAGTTCTGGGTAAATAGTGATGTTGATGATATTTAAGTATGTCTGATGTTTTAAAATTAAATTACTTCACCTTTTTTACAGTTGAGGTCCATCAAGGTAAATAATAAATAATAATGTAATACAATTTTTCTTTGTTGTAAATGTTTTGTTTCAAGCATAATAAGGTTTGGTCAAGTATCTTAGCTCTGCCTTATGTTCAGACCAGATTACTCTGGTTGAGTGACGACCGTATAAACACATTAAGAAAAAAGGAAAAATGAAAGAATGTGGTTTTGACCAACTTTGTTTGGCTCATTGTCAAAATTGAATACACATTTTTTTAAATACTTGGCTGCAGCTGTCTGAAGCCAGTGTGATGAACACAGTCATTTCCCATAGTCCGCAACCATTTGCACAGGATTAGATTCTGAGCTGTCATTGACACTTATTCCATGTTTGTTTCTATATAAAGCTGAAAAGGTTTGTTTGTTACAGGTCGACTGAATATTCAGAAGAAATGCAATTAGTCCTTCTACTCTCTTTATGCAGAGTTATAAACCTTCATGACATTTGAACTATACAAGATGGAGACATGGAGTTTGGATCATACCACTTTAAATTAAGTCAAATGAAAAAACACCAAATCAAATTATGGTTTGTTTTATTGATCTTGAACGTGAAGTATAAATATGCAGGTACAGGCTGCCAAAGGCTCGCTGCTGGTAAGCATGTGGTCTAGTTCATTGGGTTTTATTCATCCTGCGGCGTGTCATATAATACGACTGAGGTTTTCTCTCCCAGAGATGACAGCGAGGGTCAGGAGGGCTCTGTGGCTGGTCGTGGGCATGCTCAGTCTGTCCCTGCTGGTGGTGGCGCTGGGAGTCTACACGACCACCCGAACAGAGAGCCTGAACGTGACCGGCTACATCTCCGGAGTCATTGTAAGTTCTTTATTGGTCCCTCAGTCATTCCCTGTGCACTGGATTTAATCAGTGAGATGACAAATTGGCATGGATAAAAAACTTTGACCAGAAAATCAGCTGGAAGTTTTGAAACATCAAAACATCCTCTAACATGTGATCTCCATTATGAAATAAAGCTGCAGTCCTAAAGTTGCGGTGCCAGCCAACAGGTTTGATTCCCTCGTTGTGGTTCACTAATCAACAGTTTTAGGCCGACTGTGAAACTAATGATTGACAGTTTGCATGAGTGGTGACATACAGGATCTCAGCTGGCATTCAAGTTTCTTCCTGATTCTCAAACTAAAAGAACATGTATTGCCTTCTTAATTTGGTGAGTTGTAACAAAGTACATTTACGTTGTTATTATACTTAAGTACATTATCCATTTATCTGTACTTTACTCATGTACATTTATTTTTATGCCTCCACGCCAGCAACAGCCAGTGGCTGGAGGCATTACATTTGGCATAAACATTTACTTGGACTCAAGTCAGAGGACTGGAAAACAAAATGTATGTAGTGAAACTACACTGGCCTGGTGGAGGCATACAATTAGGAGGAGAATCTGTTATAAAAAATCCACTGATCCAATCGGAGTGTGCAGGTAACATTAGACCCTAACCCACCGAGTAGCATGTAACGCACTGCTTGTTTTTAAAGTTGCAATACAAGAGCGGTTTCCACATCCATGTTGCTGCTGAGAGTTAATATTGGACATGTTACTATTCATTTTGCTGATTTTTTATTTTTATTTTGAAAGTGAACCAAACCATATCAAGATGTTCCAGTTTCCACTGAAAAGGAACCATTCTGTATTTCATGATTTTGAGTAAAATTCACACCACTTATTATGTTTTTTTTAATCTGCAGCTGACTCTTGGATCCTTCTTGGGACTTCTGGGGCTCTGCCTGGAAGAAAACCGCAGGCAGCTGGTACAATCTTCTGCTCTTCCACTTTTATCTCATCTGACACACACACACATACAGCCACACACATACAGCCACACACCTACGTCGTTATAATTTCCCCCGTGTTTTCTCTGTGCACACTCATCCCTGACCTGAAGAGAGAGTTTACTTTTAAATGGTGTCAATGAGGAGGCGTCGATTCTCCTGTTTATCCTGTCGTCAAATCTCATTTCATTCTTCTCTTTTAAAACATTTCATACAATTCATACAATTTAGAAGAAATGAACTAGTGAAAACATCATGAGAATTATTCTACATTCAATTTCTGCCAATAGATCCCTCTCACCTAAATCTTACACACTGGACCTTGAATTTAAATGTAATTTTCTGCTGATCATTCTTATCCTGCAGATGGAACACACAGATGTATTTTTATTCATTTTATATTGGTGCCACTTTATAGATAGATAACTATTAAAAGAGCTATAGTACTAGTAAGGTACAGGGCTGAACAGAAGATTGGTTAATTTGGTTAAGTCTGTTGCTGAAGTATCTGCAGTATCTGTCCTGCTGTAATTGTGTTATTTGAAAATATCTTCTCAGTAAATTGCCCCAAAGTTAATCAGCTCTCTTCCCATGTATCAGATGTCATGTCTGGGTCAAGTATTTATGGTTCTGATATTTACTACGTACGTTTTCCACATATACTGCTATCTAGTCATTCATTCCCTGTTAGTGGTAGTCTTGGTTGTCTGTCTGTCTTTGGTGTAACTAATACATACAGTACTTATACTTTTACAACATTGAATCAGATTCAATTCAATGTTGTTGTTTTTTACACTGTAGGATATTCAAATTTAGGGAGGGAGAATTTATTAAGCGTCTCCACTTCCTCCTATTAAGAAATGATAAATCCCAGATATGACCTGACATTTGGAGCCAGTGTCTGTGGCCAATCGCGAGTCGCTCTCAACTGTCAATCTTGATGTTTCACTCAAAATTGCTGGAAAATGTAGCACTTGAACATCAATCAAAGTAATAATAAATACCTTAGATAACAGAAACCCTCTTTATTAGTTTAACCTTTTAGTTTGACCCATGTCCAATCTGCTAACATGGAGGAGGCAGGTTTTATGACCTACCTCAGCCAGCCACCACGTGGCTTTGGCTTCACTTTCAGCTGGCATGTCATCCATCTTTATAAACAGTATATGGACTAAACCCTTTAGGGTTTAATGACCCTTCTACTGGACAACTTAATATAATGTGGCCTTAGCTTTAAGGCTTGTTTAAATGTAAGGGGACTGTTGGAGGTAAATGCTCTACTGAGCGCCATTCTAGTCATTTTATTTGTTTGCCTGGTGAAAATACACGGACACAATAGTATTCACATATGGAAGTACTTTTATTTTCATATAATCACAAATATCAATAAAACTGAAAAAAATCCTTTGTCATAGAGGTAAGGAGCTAAATGCTTTTACAAAAAACTCAATATAAATAGGATAACATTCATCAAAAATACTTACATTTAATGTTTAACATCTGCTACAGAAGGGAAAGAAATCAGCAGTGGGTCTTACTTAAACAAACGGACATTTCTGCTTTTGTTCTGTGTTCCTCCTCCAGCTGACGGCTGCGATCGTGTTCCTCAGCTTTGGGACCATCACTGCTTTTCTGTGCCTGGTGAATGATAGCGTCTGTACTGTCTTAAACATGGTAAGCTGCCTGCCCTTGCATGTGGATAGTAGAGATGACTGTGCTGGGTAATGAAAGAAAGCAGTAACAGAAGGCCATAAAGGAATAATAAACCATTGTGCTGACTGAATACCAAGTGACGGGGACTGCCCGCTGTGTGTGTAGCATGGCTCTGTTGGCAGAACTGACCTTTAGTCCGAGGACGTCCATCAGAGCGGCAGGACTGAAAGAAATCCAGTTTCTTCTAGGAATAATACCTTCAGACATCTGCTGAGCTGGAAGACTTAGAATCCTCAGAGATTGAAAATGTGATGCTGCCTCCTTAAAATAACATTGAAAAGATTAAATTGGTTTAGGATGGAAGTTGGTGGAAGTCTGAGAACAGAAACTCAAACATTGTTATAAGAAGCCCAAATCCCTTTCCCTCAGACCAGCCTCCAAAACCCATGAGCGTGCATCACACAATATATAGGATTATCTTGTCAATCTTTTATTCTCACACAGACTGACGGAGGTTGTGTGGATGATATTTCTTCATGTGTTAATGTTTGCCAGGACATGCGTCCACTGAGAGCAGGGAGATGTCAGTATTACAGCAGCGGGACCAGCTACATCTATGAGAATTTCTTCACCTCAGTGAGTAAAGATGTGCAGATTTATCCAAAATTTTATCACAATGTAAATCACAGACGGCAAACTGTAGGTCTGGGGGTTGTTTTCTGTGTTGTATTTGCAGGTTTCTACAGTTTGAACTCGTCTTTTCTTTTTCTGTCAGGTTTCATGTTGGAATCTGAAGGAGTCTTGTACCATGACAGTAAGAAGTGGAACCTGCTACTGCTGCGACCTGTACGACTGTGCCAAGTGAGACACTGCACCATTAATCTTTGACATTAGCGTAGCATATTGTAGCTCATGATAATCATCACAATTTGAACAAACTCAGGATTGTCGACTCGCAAGGTTTGGTCTCTCCAGAAAGTAATTTAATTCTCCCACTGATTAAAAACCTTCTGTAATGATCAGAGCTGTTGTTTTGCTCTGCAGTGGAGGTTACCTCAGCAACTACTACGAGTTTGTTGGAGTCCAAAGCTGTGAGGAAGTTTTCACTCTTTACATTTTGATATGGATCCTCACCGGTCTGAACCTCGTGGCGCTCTTCACAGGGATCCTGATCACAGCGGTGCTCGGTAGCATCAAGGATATGGTGAGACACGCACACACACACACACACACA